AGCCTTTTCATTTTGATTCAGGTTGTTTAAAAGCCTTTTTTATTTTGTTTTAGTTTCGCAATTTAAGCTCTAAACTAATTTAAAGTTACTATAGAGTTTGGACAGTTGTATTTAAATTTTGGCTTGTTTGTACTTCAATATAATTACAATTTAATTTTCTGCATATAATTTGTGAGGTTTAACAATTACATTTTTACATTTACTATAAATTAATTGTTAAATATACTTGTTCATTCGCAACTTAAGTTAATTCTAAATAAATACTTGATTCATTTCTTAATATATTTGATTCTCATTGTGGAAATAATTTTGAAAAAATTACAAACTACGCGAAACAAATTTATGTTTAGCTAAGTAAAATTTATCTGTCATGAAATTTTTAAGTATGATATCGTAATGTTTTTGTCCCACAAATATTTTTTTATTTTAGTTGATTTTACACTGATTTTTCAATATGGTTGTTGTTTATGACACACTTGAGATATCTAATGTAAATTCGCCCCCACTGGCTACTAACTAGTCCCTTACTCCCTCGCTCACTTACTTGACCTCACTCTCAATTCTCGTTTGTGAATAGATGAGGACACTGGCATATTTCGTTCAAAATTAAGAATGAGGTCTTTTTGGGTATTATTTTTGTTCAAGGTATTAAATACATGCTTATGTATTGTGTACTCCGTATGTAGTTTTATTTCCACTAAAGTGATTTTTCTGTATTTTCATTTTTGTCAACAATATTAAACTTTGACTAATGATATATGAAAAAATGACACAAATATCACCTCTAACTTTGTGAAATACAAAATACTTACTAATTTTATTTTTTCCAAAAGTGTGACTAACCATTTGTTTAGTTCATCCAATTTTTTTTCTTATTGTGATTTATATCCAATCCTTGCCCCATCCCCAAGCCCACATATGCCTAACCGTTGTCGGAAACCGCCACCGAAAAACATCACCGGAAACTGTTGCCGGAAAAGTCACCTGAAAACTTGATGATTTTTTCATGACAAGTTCGTGCAGATCCCGTTAGTATTTATAATGTAGGAGTTGCAGTGCATCAAGACAAATGCAAATCATATGTAGTTTTTTATTTTTAATAAATTTTTGAATCAAAATTGTACATAATTCTTAGTGTATACGACACAAATTTTATAATTAATAAAACAAAATTTTCCCACAGTTTATATATGCCATGGGAATTAATCATCAACTAATAGTGTTGAGAGAGACCTTGTAGTCATTAAGGCTTTTCGTACTGGTTGGGATTTTGGAGGAAACCAATCTCCTTTCAATTGCCACAACGACCGGCCGAGGAAGGGTGCGGTTTAACACCGTTCATGGTTATTTTGAGTAAGATAAAGAAAGGATGGATGATTACATTTCCATTAAGAGACTGATTGAAATGCGATGAAGAAATGCAGGCATTTCTAATACTCCCTCCGTCCCCCCTGTTATTTTCCCATTTTCTATTTACTTGATCAACACAAATCACTCTTAATATTCTACTTTATGTATCGATTTTTTGTCAAATTTGATTCTAGTTTTTTGCGAGTTTGTAAAGCTTTTAATGTAGTTTCTGAATATGTAATTTTTTTCTAAAAATAATTTGAGTCCGGACTGAGATGTGTTTGCTTTATCATCGGTCAAGCATTGTAAACCGCAATGGGACAATAACTGGGGGACGGAGGTAGTACTAAGTAGGATGGAGTGGGGTAGGCCATAGGGAGTGGAGAATGAAGAGAGGGCGGGGAGAGGAAAGATATATTAGTGTTGAAGAAGAGGCATTTGATAGAGATCGGTGACATTTGGAGAGGGATAGCGAGGGGTACATGTTGCGTGTTTCAGAGCGTTCTTCACACTTACTTTTTGATCGATCACATCACTTTCCTAGTTCAATTTATTCCTTCTTATCTTTGATCGGCACTCCACTTATGGGGCACTTACTCCTAGAGATGGCAATTGTGACCGTTCCGATGGATACCCGCACCGAACTGCCCCGGTCAAAACGGGGAAAACCGCTTTGACCGGGTAACGGGTATGGGGCGGGGAATACCCGTTTTGTTTTTACGGGTAATGGGGCGGTTACAATTTTATACATGTCCGCCCCATTACCCGCCCCGTACCCGCCCCGTTTATTTTTAGTTATATTTTTATTACATTTTTATCTATTATTTGTCCCATAAGTAATAGAAGATGAAATTTTTCTATTTTCATTGTGTATATGGATAATAGATGTACTAAATATAATGTTTCAATGAGAGTTCATAATAGATCTTAATAGTATTGTTTGTTTATTATAAGATTTTTTAGTGAATAATTATATATTTTTCACATTAGGTATTTTTAGGTTCAAATTAATTTATGTTGTCTTCTTTCTCATCTTGTAGATATACGAAACTTTAAAGTTGCGTCTCAGTCTAGAATCATCTAAGTGATGTCAATTTTCGGCTTTTAAAATATATTTTTTATATTAAAATATTAATGACTCATTTAATAAATTGATTACCCGCGGTTACCCGCGGTTATACCCGTTACCCGTTGGGGCGGATATGGTTTGGGTAAAAATTACCCATTGGGTAACGGGGCGGTTATGGGGCGGGGAGTTATCAAATGGGACGGGTACGGTTATATGTAAAACCGTCCCCGAACCGCCCCGTTGCCATCCCTAGTTACTCCCCCGCCACTGACTTGACGTCACTCTCAACTCTGGTCAGTGAATGTATCGTGACACTAGCTTATTTGGTTACTAATAAAGATTGATAATTTAGGGTATTATTATTTATTTATTTTGTTCAAGGTATTAAATACACATTTATTGTTTACATAGTTTTATTTCCCCTAAGAGGAATTTCCATAAATTCATTTTTGCCAACAATATTAAAATTTAACTAATGATATTTGGAAAAATGATACAAATATTACCTTCAATTTTGTGAAATACAAAAAAGTGAATTTTCCCATTTTCTCAAAAATATGATTAACCTTTTGTTTAATTAATCCAATATTTTTCTTATAGTGATTCGTATCCAATCTTTGCCCCACCCTCAAGCCCATACATACATAGCTGATGTCGAAAAAGATTGTCGGAAATATCACCAGAAACTGTGATGATTTTTTTCGTGCCAACCTGTGCCACATGCGTACTAGTCCCGTGGCAGTACATTTTGACAAAAACAAATCATATGCTCAACCTTACCACTAAGCTTATGTGTGGGGACAAATGAACAATATGGTAATGCCATGTTTGGTGTAGGATCTACAAAAAGATAAACTTCCTATTTATTTTCTAAACTAATGGTGTTGAGAAGAGATCTCCCACTGTTTATATACGCTATGAGAATAAATCGTTAGTTAATTACCTAAATAGGTCAAAAAAGTGGACCAAGATCACAAATAGGACTACATATATGTTTTTTATTCCCCTAATAGGACTATTTATGTGTATTTGGACAAATATACCCTTGTGGGTTTTCAAATGTCTTAATTAATATAAAATCATAAATAAATAAAAATGTAACAAAATAATAAAAACGTCAAAAAAATATTAAACAATTGAAAAAATATTTATAAGATAAAAAATTAAAAAAATTAAAAAATTAAAAAAAATTAAAAATTAAAAAAAAAACGCTGCCGCCTCTGCCACCCCCAGCACCACCATCTCACATCACCGATTGGAAATATGCAAACATTTTTAGTAATGCCATAATAATTGCAGATTCAATGAGAATTTTGGTATTATGATGAGTAATAATGCCATTTTGTTGGCATTTTCATAAAAAATGATATTTTTTACAAAAAATGAAAGAATATTATCCGATCGGAGGTTTCCATATTTTGTTATATTTTTTATGGGTTTTTACTATTTTTGTTAATATTTTTAAAAAAACTATCAACAATTGTAGTAATTCCATAATAATGGCAGTTTGAATGAGAATTAGGCATTATGAAGAGTAATTATGCCATTTTCTTAGCATTTTCGGGAAAAATGGATTTTTTTATAAAAAAATGGAAGAACTTTTACCGATCTAAGATGGTGGTGCTGGGAGGCGGTGGGAAAAGTATCCATATTTTTTTTATATTTTTCTTATGTATTTTTACTAATTTTTACTCCCTCGTCCCAAAATGATTGACCAAATTTCCTTTTTTGGCCGTCCCAAAAAGGTTTGTCATTTCCATTTAAAGTAAGGAATATGTGGCTAAAACTAATTCTCTCTCTTCTGCACAAATTTCAACCACACAGTTTTTACTTTATTAATCCACGTACAAGTTAACATTGGCCAACCATTTTGGGACGGAGGGAGTATTATTTTTTATAAATATTTATTAATTTTTTTGATATTCTTTACGATTTTTAAATTTTTGTTTAAGATTTTATTATGAATTATGACATTTCATTATGAAATAATACCCTTAGTGTGAGAATCAATTGTTTAGTCCTATTTGGGATGACTAAAATGTAGTGGTTCTATTTCTTCATTTTAGGTTATTTTTAGTCCTATATAGAGCAATTACGACTTTTCATTTTTAGTCCTAATAGTGTTAAGAGAGAGACCTTGTAGCCATTACGGCTTTTCATACTGGTTTATGGGATTTTGGAGGAAACCAATCTCCTTTCAACGTACCTCGCCACAACCAGCTGAGGAAGGGTACGGTGAACACCATTGATGGTTATTTTGAGTATAAGTTAAAGAAAGAATGGATGATTACATTTCCGTTAAGAGACTGATTCAAATGCGATGAAGAAAGACAGTCATTTATAATACTAAGTAGGATGCGGTGGGGTATGTATTGGGGCAATATATTTGGCATATCTTTATTTATGGAATTTTCCTTATGTAATCTTTTTATTCTTGGCCATTGTAATTTGACTAGGATACCTCTTCCATATACGGTAGTTAGCAGATCTCTTTTTTTGGATCATTGGTTGTATAAGAGACCTACGCAGCATACTCCAAAATAGACAGAATAATATTCTCTTCTTCCTCTTTATGTGTTTACGTATTTGAACATAAGGCGTTGTTATTTATCATGGTATCAGAGAGTTCTTAATTATCTTCCGCAAAATGACGGCCGGAGATGGAGGTTTGTCGTTCGGCAATTCTCAGGCGAAAATAGATCCTGGAGCACAGCGCAGCAAGTATCTGGCAACGAAGGTCCATGCTACAGTGGCCGAAAATGTGCTTAAATCACCAAATATAAAAGACGAAGGGAGCAGCCAGTCAACACCGTTGCCCAGCTTTACACCCGAGCGATGGAATGCCTTGTTATCTATTTTTGGTAATTCATCATCCTCTAATGATGCCATGGCTGGTAAGTTCAATAAAAATGCTTGGATTATTGATACAGGTGCCACTAATCATGTGTGTGGAAATCCGACTCTTTTATGTGAAATTAATTCTGTTGAACCGTGCTCTGTTGGGTTGCCTGATGGAAAGACTGTTATGGCTACTCAAGAAGGAAGTGTAATATTGTCTACTGATTTTTATTTAAAAAATGTGCTGTATGTTCCACAGTTGAATTGCAACCTTATCTCTGTGTCCCAACTGAGTGATCAACACAATTGTTTTGTTCAATTCACTAGTAATTTGTGTGTTATACAGGACCGTCTCTCGAGGAGGCTGATCGGAACGGGTGAACGGAGAAATGGACTGTATTATCTGTGCGAGGAACCTTCAGCACAAATTTTGGCACTAAGAGACTCCAAGAATTCAGTAGTGGACTTATGGCATCAAAGGTTGGGACACCCATCTTTACAAGTGGTTGAACATTTGGCTCCTGTAAGTGGTGTGAAGATTACTGAAAATTTCCCTTGTGATGTCTGTTTTAAGGCTAAACAAACTAGAGATTCCTTTCCTACTAGCGCTTTAAATAAAACCCATGGCACTTTTGAATTAATACATTGCGATTTGTGGGGTCCATATAACACACCATCTTCATGTGGGGCTAGGCATTTTTTAACAATTGTGGATGATTATTCACGTGCTGTGTGGGTTTATCTGCTTGTTGATAAAAAGGAAGTTCTTAAAATGTTCCTATCTTTTGTTGCTATGGTGGAACGTCAGTTCTCTAAGAAGATTATTACTGTGAGAAGTGACAATGGGACAGAGTTTAATTGCCTTAAAGATTTTTTCCGGGATTGTGGAATTATTTTTCAGACATCTTGCGTTGGCATGCCCCAACAAAATGGGCGTGTTGAGCGTAAGCATAGGCATATTCTGAATGTAGCACGTGCTTTGAGATTTCAAGGACATTTACCTATTTCTTTTTGGGGTGAATGTGTACTCACTGCGGCACATCTTATTAATCGTACACCTTCTGTTATTCTTGGTTATAAGACCCCTTATGAAACATTATTTGGTCTCTCGCCATGTTACAAATCTTTGCGTGTTTTCGGATGCATGTGTTATGTATTTAATATGAAGTCCAAACATGACAAATTTCTTAGCCGGAGCAGAAAATGCGTATTTCTGGGTTACCCATTTGGCAAGAAAGGGTGGACGGTTTATGACCTCGAGACTCGGGAATATTTTGTGTCTCGTGATGTAAAATTTTTTGAGACGGTTTTTCCGTTTGCAAGTCCTTCGCCATCTGCTGATAATCCACCTGAGCCACCTGAAATTTTGCCTTGTGACTATGATTTGTTTGCTCCTGGAGATTCTCCCATGACACAAGCTCCTGCCACTCCTGGCACGGCTTCTAATTTTCCTCCAGATTCGAACATGGAGTCATCACATGTGTCATCTAAGGAGTTTGCTGAGTCATCCCAGGTGTGTACTACACCTCATGCTATGAACGACCCTGAAGTGCCCAGTACAACGGAACAGCAAATAGCTATGGGTCGCGGTCAGCGCACCCGCATGCCATCTGTGCGCCTTAAAGATTTTGTTACTCATACTATTGTTAAACACAGTCCATTTCCCGCTCCTCGTGTTTCGTCATCCTCTTCAGGTACGCCGTTCCCTATAACTCACTATATTACTTGTGATAAATTCTCTCCAAAACATGTAGCTTACTTGGCAGCTCTTGACTCTACTACGGAGCCTCGCACATTTCATGATGCAGTCTAAAATGAGGGGTGGCGGCAGGCCATGCGTGACGAAATCACAGCGCTTGAAAAGAATTCTACTTGGACTCTTGTTACTTTACCCCCTGGAAAACGTGCCTTAGGATGTCGTTGGGTTTATAAAGTTAAACATAAATCTGATGGTAGTGTTGAACGCCTTAAGGCTCGTTTAGTCATCTTTGGTAATCGGCAGGTAGCTGGTCTGGACTACACCGAAACATTTGCTCCGGTAGCCAAAATGGTTACTGTACGAGCCTTTCTTGCTATTGCTGCTTGCAAAAATTGGGAGCTGCACCAGATGGATGTCCATAATGCCTTTCTTCATGGTGATCTACATGAAGAAGTATACATGACGATACCACCAGGATACACTACTACTGATTCGTCTTTGGTGTGTCGTCTTCAGAAATCTTTATATGGACTTAAACAGGCTCCGCGATGTTGGTTCGCTAAACTCGTTACTGCTCTTAAAGGTTACGGATTCCTCCAGTCTTATGCTGATTATTCTTTATTTACACTCACCCGAGGTGCCAATCAGCTCAATGTTCTGGTTTATGTTGATGATCTTCTTATTTCTGGAAATGATAGTGCAGTCATCACCAATTTTAAATCATATCTAAATGCTTGTTTCCATATGAAGGATTTGGGCACTTTGAAATATTTTCTTGGAATTGAGGTTGCTCGTAGCTCCTTGGGCATTTTTCTTAATCAAAGAAAATATGCACTCGACATTATTACTGAAACCGGTCTCTTGGGCGCCAAACCCGCCTCATTTCCAATTGAGCAAAATCATGATCTGGGAGGTGCTTCCGGACCACTACACCCAGATCCTGAGCAATATCGACGCCTCGTTGGTCGACTTATTTATTTGGCGGTTACCCGACCGGATATTACGTATTCGGTACACATTCTATCTCAGTTTATGCAAGCTCCTCGGACTGAGCATTGGTTGGCTGCTCTACGAGTTGTTCGGTACCTAAAAGGTTCTCCGGGTCAGGGTATTTTGCTCCGTGCTGACAGTGCTCTTACTCTCACCGGTTGGTGTGATTCTGACTGGGCTGCCTGCCCTCTCACTCGTAGATCTCTCTCTGGCTGGCTGGTGTTCCTTGGTCACTCCCCTATATCTTGGAAATCAAAAAAACAGACCACTGTTGCTCGCTCTTCTGCAGAGGCTGAGTATCGCTCGATGGCAGCTGCTACATGTGAACTTAAGTGGCTCAAGGCTCTTCTATTAAGTTTGGGAATTCAACATCCTCAAGCTATCCCTCTCTACTGTGACAGTCAGTCTGCACTTCACATAGCTAACAACCCTGTGTTCCATGAACGAACTAAACACATTGAAGTCGACTGCCACTTTGTCCGTGATGCTATACAGGCCCAAATAATTGCTCCCAACTACGTTCCTACTACTGTTCAATTAGCTGATATTTTCACCAAAGCTCTCGGGAAGACTCAATTTCATACTCTCCTAAGCAAGTTGGGCATTCTGGATCCCCATGCGCCAACTTGAGGGGGGGTATTGGGGCAATATATTTGGCATATCTTTATTTATGGAATTTTCCTTATGTAATCTTTTTATTCTTGGCCATTGTAATTTGACTAGGATACCTCTTCCATATACGGTAGTTAGCAGATCTCTTTTTTTGGATCATTGGTTGTATAAGAGACCTACGCAGCATACTCCAAAATAGACAGAATAATATTCTCTTCTTCCTCTTTATGTGTTTACGTATTTGAACATAAGGCGTTGTTATTTATCAGTATGCCATAGGGAGTAGAGAATGAAGAGAGGGTGGGGAGAGGAAAGATATATTGTTGTTGAAGAAGAGGCATTTGATAGAGATCAGTGTGACATTTGGAGAGGGATAACGAGGGGTACATGTTGCGTGTTTCAAAGTGTTCTTCACACTTACTTTTTGATCGATCGCATCATTTTCCTAGTTCAATTTATTCCTTCTTATCTTCGATCAACGCTCCACTTACGGGGCACTTACTCCCCCCGCCGCTGACTTGACGTCACTCTCAACTCTGGTTGGTGAATATATCGTGACACTAGCTTATTTGGTTACTAATAAAGATTGATATTATAGGGTATTATTATTTATTTTGTTCAAGGTATTAAATTCATATTTATTGTTTATATAGTTTTATTTCCACTAAGGGGATTTTCCATAAATTCATTTTTGCCAACAATATTAAAATTTAACTAATGATATTTGGATAAATGAAACAAATATTACCTTCAATTTTGTGAAAAACAAAAAAGTGAATAATTTCCCATTTTCTCAAAAATATGATTAACCATTTGTTTAATTAATCCAACATTATTCTTGTTGTGATTTATATACAATCTTTGCCCAATCCTTAAGCCCATATATACATAGCTGCTGTCAAAAAAGATTGTCGGAAAAATCACCAGAAAACTATGATGATTTTTTTGTGCCAACGTGTGCCACATCCGTGCTAGTCCCGTGGCAGTACAGGGCATAAAGACGAGGAGTACCACCAGGCAAACTAACCTTCTTAAAGGGAATAGGGAGTGGAAATTAAGGTGGAGTGGCCTGATATCTTTCGAGATTGGGTCGGTTTGCCTGCAAATGAGGCCAAACATTCCGGAGGTAAGGCGACTTTATGATGCTCTCTGGAAAGGAATTGACAGAACTAGAACCTTCTCTGGAAAGGCGAACAGTGGTGTAACCTCAGGCTTGGGGGCGATTGGCCTATATCTCGCCAAGATCTCATCTTTACTACTCTTGTTATTGGAAGAACCACTACTCCCGACGGAGAAAGGATTAACACCATTCATGGTTATTTTTGAGTAATTTAAAGAAATGTTGGATGATTATATTTCCATTAAGAGACTGAAATGTGATAGATGAAGAAATGCAGGCATATATAATACTAAGTACGGTGGGGTGGGTCGTAGGGAGTAAAAAATGAATGCATATCGGTGTTACACGTGTTGGAGAAGTTTCATTTGACAGAGATTAGTGTCATTTGATAGAGATCAGTGACATTTGGATAGGGATAACGAGGGATACATATTGCTTGTTTCATAGCGTTCGTCGCACTTTCTTTTTGATCGATCACATCATTTTCCTCGTTCATTTTATTCCTTCTTATCCTCCATCGGCGCTCCACTTACAGGACACTTACTCTCCTGCCCCTGACTTGACGTCACTCTCAACTATGGTTGCTGAATATATCGTGACACTAGCTTATTTGGTTACTAATTAAGATTGATCTTTTAGGGTATTATTATTATTATTATTATTATTATTATTATTGTTCAAGGTATTTAATACACATTTATTGTTTATATTGTTTTATTTCCACTTAGGGTATTTTCTATTAATTCATTTTTGCCAACAATATTAAAATTTAAGTAATGATATATGAAAAAATAACACAAACATTACCTCTAACTTTGTGAAATACAAAAAAGTGAATGATTTCCCATTTTCTCAAAAATATGATTAACCTTTTGTTTACTTAATCCAATATTTTTCTTATTGTGATTTATATCCAATCTTTGCCCCATCCTCAAGCCCATAGATACATAGCTGTTGTTAAAAAAGATTATCAGAAAAATACCTAGAAAATTATGATGATTTTTTTTGTGTCAACCTGTGCCACATTCGTGCTAGTCCCGTGGCAGTGCATCAAGACAAACACAAATCATATGCTCAACCTTACCACTAAGCTTATGTGTGGGGATAAGTGAACCATATGGTATTTCCATGTTTGGTGTAGGATCTATAAAAAGATAAATTTTCCTATTCATTTCCTATATCACAATGAAGAATATTAATAGAAAGATTAAAAAATACCCAATTGTTAATGTAACGGTTTCTAGTGTGATTCCTCATGAGCTGTACATCTAGCCTAGGTGTTTGAAGTTTTTTTCCTAAAAAAAATCTAACTCTTAAAAAAGCAATATTGAAAATGATTAGAAGCAATGCAACGCACTTACCATCTCTTATGCTATTGTTTTTATTCCTGGTTATATTTCCTAAAGTGACCTTCGGGCACCATATGTTGTGAAATATGACGTGTCAATGAGACAATGACTAACAAAAGGGGAACTTAAAAAGTATCTATGATTTTTAGTTTGTTTAGTTTTTATCTTTTTCTTGTAGCTATCTACAGTGTAATACTTACACAAAAACTTCACTTTTTATGCATCATTTACTTCTTTTAAAATATGTGTAGTGAAATCTAGTGTTTTGTATGTATGTGTGCTCCGTTCCTTATGGATATATTTGTGCATTTTACATCTATTATTGATCACCTATTAATTTGGCTATTTGTTTTAAACCAATTATTCTAGTGAAAATACATTTGGGACTTGAGATATTTATTATGTTATTATAAAGCAAATGATAATTTTACAACCTTCCCTCTCTGGTATTTAGCTCCAATTTCCCTCTAAAATATACTAGGTAGCTATGTAGCACAGAAACTCTCGGGTTAGAATACGTTTCCGTTTCGAAAATTCAACGGAAACTCTTTAGAAACTCCCAAAACAAACCTTTTTGAACAAAAATTGATGTTTCCCGTTTCTCGTTTCCTCATGATTTTCGCGTTTTCGTGCAACATAGTTACGTGGTATTATTTTCACCACTGATGAGAGTTTGATGGACCAAGGCAGACCCACCCTTAGCTTGTATTTTTTAATACACCTTCAATAACAAATGGCTTAAAAAGGTGAAAGTGATAAACCCTACAGTAGGCAGAGTTATGGAGTAATGTCGTGCCTTGATTCAGGCAGACTAATCAATATATATACACTGAGTAATTAGGGTCACAAAGTAATTAAGGATATAATGGTAAAATATACAACCCTAACTAATATATACGGAACTAGTTCGCTAATACCCCCCCTCAAGTTGGAGCATGAGGGTTCCGAATGCCCAACTTGTTGAGAATATAGAGGAACTGTTGCTTGCCAAGAGATTTAGTAAAAATATAGCGAGTTGTTCTCTTGTAGGCACATAACTAGCAGAAACCAAACCAGAAACAAGAGCATCACGCACAAAATGACAGTCAATTTCGATGTGTTTTGTGCGTTCGTGAAAGACAGGATTAACAGCGATATGTAGAGCTGCCTGACTGTCACAAAACATCCGCATGGGCTGAGAATGAGAGACGCCCAAACTACACAGCAACCCCTTTAACCACTTCAATTCACAAGTAAGAGTAGCCATAGCCCGATATTCAGCTTCAGCAGAAGAACGAGCCACAGTGTGTTGCTTCTTGGTTTTCCAAGAAACTGGAGAAGAACCCAACTGAACTAGCCACCCTGTAAGTGAACGACGTGTGAGGGGACAACTAGCCCAATCGGAATCGCACCAACCATATAATTGTAAATCACTATCAGCACGTAGAAGTATCCCTTGACCAGGGTTTCCTTTCAAATATCGCACCACACGAAGTGCGGCATCCCAATGGGCTTTCATGGGTTTTTGCATAAATTGAGCCAAAATATGAACACTATAAGCCAAATCAGGGCGAGTGACCGCCAAATAAATCAATCGACCAATGAGACGTCGGTAACCCTCAGGATCAGAGTGAGGACAATCCTCTGCAAGCGGAAGAGTGTGATTTTGCTCAATGGGAAAACCAGCGGGTTGACTACCCAAAAGACCAACCTCAGCCACAAGATCAAGAGTGTACTTGCGCTGAGACAAAAACAACCCAGTAGCATTACGGGCCACCTCAATACCCAAGAAGTATTTCAGGACACCAAGATCTTTCATGTGGAAAGTCGAGCTCAAATAAGCTTTAAACTGGGAAATAGCAAGCTTATTATTACCGGAGATAACCAGATCATCCACATAAACAAGAACATTAAGATGGACACCACTCTTGTGAAAAGTAAACGGAGAATAATCAGAGTAGGACTGAGAGAAGCCATATTGTGTTAAAGCCTTAGCCAATTTAGCAAACCAACAACGGGGGGCTTGTTTTAACCCATACAAAGAACGGCGAAGTTTGCAGACCTGGTTAGGATGAGAAGCGCGAAAACCAGGAGGAAACTTCATATAGACTTCCTCATCTAAATCTCCATGTAAGAAGGCATTATGAACATCCATCTGATGAAGTTCCCATTTCTTAGCCGCTGCAACTGCTAGAAAAACACGAACAGTAACCATTTTGGCAACTGGGGCAAAAGTCTCCTTGTAATCAATGCCTTCAACCTGATTATTCCCTAATACAACAAGACGAGCCTTATAACGTTCAACCGAGCCATCAGAATGATACTTAATTTTATACACCCATGATAAACCCTACAGTAGGCAGAGTTATGGAGTAATGTCGTGCCTTGGTTCAGGCAGACTAATCAATATATATACACTGAGTAATTAGGGTCACAAAGTAATTAAGGATATAATGGTAAAATATACAACCCTAACTAATATATACGGAACTAGTTCGCTAATAGAAAGAAAAAAACCCTAGAATGCGGAGATCGATGTTGGAAGAACCATAGAGTGCGGCGGAGATCTGTTCTACCTAGAAGAGTGCGACGTCTGTCTCTTCTTCTTCTTCCATCTCAGCAATGAAGGTTGATGCCTGATGGTATTTGGGATAGTTTTGGCAATCTCCTTTCAAGTTTTCGCATCGCTTGTGATTTCTTTTACAACGAACGTTCAGCCCTCAATATCGGATTCTATGAATTGTGTTCGATTTATGTCTTGAATCTATTTAGTCACCGGTTTGGGCTAGGATTCTGTTTTGGGCCTATTCTATTTATTTGGGCCTCTTCTAGTTTTTCTGTATTAGGTCTGAGAGAATACTATATAAACTCTCTAAGCCTAACCCTAACAGTCGATGAAATATATAGCTCAGAATCTATAATCTAAAACTCCCCAAAACATTAATAAAACTCTCGTCCCTTCTGTCCTATGGACGTAGCTAACACACCGTTAGTGAACTAGGTAAACTCTCGTCCCTCCGTCCCTAAATAAACTTCCAACTTTCTTTTTTCGTCCGTCCCAATTAAAACTTTCACTTTCCCTTTTTGGCAAAGAATTTGTGGTTCACACCAATTCTTACACATTTCTCTCTCCTCTGCACAACTCTCCACCACACAATACTCACTATCTTAAACTATGTGTCAAACATATTTGGAAGATAAATTAGGGACGGAGGGAGTAACAAATTGTATTTGATATTTCCTCGTTTATGATTTGATAAATGAAGCTTGAATACGGAGTAGTTTCTTTCAAAAATAATAAAAATATCAGGTCAAAAATAAAATTCATTGCTTTTTTCTATCTCCATTCTTTTTTTCTGACACTACATTATATTCCTTTTTTCTTTCATTACCGATTACCATGGGCCCAAATATCTTACTAAGTGTATGTTTGGCTAATTGGATAGGCTGAAGTTTGTTTGTGCAAAGATAGTTTTTTGAATTCGTTTTGTTTTCATCACAGACATAAAATTGTATGCTCAAAATACTGTCTGTATTTACAAAAGTCTTGTTGTACAAGTATGTTAACCAACTTAGTTGTACGCCAAACATCACTTGTTCTTCTATACCTTTGAAGTTGCGCAGTATTTCATTGTTCCGCAAATGAGAGTATCTTAATGACTAACAGAACAAGGGATTGATGCTCAAGAGCTGAAGAACTTCATGCAAATCGGGGGAGAAATTTTCGCCAAAGCGAGGATGGAAGCAGGAAGAATCCACATGCCCTCTCCACATATCATCCCTGAAGCAACTGCTGGAACCATGACCTCAGCCTTCTTGGCATTGAGTTTATGCCACACAAACACAACAGCGCTCCCAATGCACATATCGATGGCAAAGTACCCTCCAATGAGGAATGGCACTGCCATTGCCATCGGCAACGGCATCCATCTCCCGATCCCTCGTGGGGAAAGATCCTTGATCAAGTTGACCAAAACCGCAAACCCGAAAAACCCGTAGCACAGCTGCAAGCAGTGCGCAGGCAAAGCTGAAAAGCCTTCCACACTGAGAACAGCCATGTTTCGGTAGATGAGGGCATATGGAGCCTTGAACTCTCCGTTCGGGTTTCCGATATCAAAAGCGTTGTAAAAGAGGAAGAAGCTGAGTGGTGCCACCACGCAGCCGATGAGGGTCCCGATTCCCTGACTGACTAACATGGCTCTAGGAGAGGTGAGGGTGAGATGGCCCGTTTTCAGGTCTATCATTAGATTGCAGGAAACATTTGCTAGAGACTTGACTATCCCGCATCCTGCTAGACCTGCCAGCACACCACCATGCTCTTTCCCGGCTAATGCAGCCATCATGAACAGCCCAAGTTTACCGTAGTTGTAGGCCATGTTGATATCCGTTAATCCAGCACCATACGCGTTGCAGAAAGCCAGAGAAGGGGCAAATGCATAGGCAATGATTATCCAATACCATTTTACTTCAGGGAAGATCATAGGTATAGCAACCACTGCGACAATGGCCAATGACAAGTACCCAACTCCTCCAACCCACATTGGGATGCTTTCTCTAATGAATAACTCATCCTTTCTTAGCTCATCGCCACTGCCTGTACTCCAATCTGCGGTATATACAATACAAAAATATAACCATACAAATCTATGTATAAAATCTTGGACTACTTGAATAGCAACCCATTCAAGTCTGAATATGTATAAGTGTCCGATTATGATTACATTCATATATAGTTAAACTTCTTGAATAGCAATTCAGAGTAAAACAAAAGTACCCGGACGTAGAACGACGTTTCTTTCTTTGAACCTTTGAAGAATGCTAAAGAGGGTGAAACATAATATCTTGATGAAGTTGTAAAGGCCATCGCCTAAGAGGAGGGAAATGGAGATAAAGACCTGTGGCATGGCAATGAAAAGAAAGGAATTGAAATTACTAACTGGCCAACTTCTTATATATACATCCTTCTTAGCCTAGAACTTATCAATAGGATGGTTTAAAGTTTCTAAAATGTAGTCTTTAAAGTATATGTGTAAGAAGAAACTAAAAACTTATGTAGTGTTTTATTTGTAACAAATTTTAAAATTAAAACTGTACATGATTCTTAGTGCATATGGCATATATTTTATAATTACTAAAACCAAATCTTCCCACAGTTTATGAATGCCATGGGAATAAATCATTAACTAACTGTTGAGAGAGAGAGAGACCTTGTAGCCATTAAGGCTTTTCATACTGGTTTCTGGGATATTTGCAGGAAACCAATCTCCTTTCAACCTTGCCACAATAGGCCATAGCACTCCCCATGAAATGACAGCACCAAGAAGCAGAGATAAATTCACAATATGGGGGCAGATCATCCCAGTTCCCACATAAGTCAAACTGAAGTCAAAGAAGAATCTGCAATAGAAACAAATAATCAGGCATTTAAGATGATGAAGTGCAAAAAAGGTGATGCTTTAGCCTTTAGGAATATATATATATACGTACGTATGCTTCCAGGCATTTAACCCAAAAGTTGGAAACTGTGAGAAACCACAATCTCCTTTCCCAGTGTAAAACCACTGAAAGAAAGCCCATATAAAACTGTAAGAAAAAAACTTCAAGAACCCCTTGACCTGTTTTCTGCAAATATATAGTGCAGATAGAAAAAAACATGTAAAAAAAGATTATTATAAGAAAAAAATAATAGACCCCATCAAAATGGCAGAATGAGTAACACACAGTGATGGGCTTCTATAATTAGTCACACCTTCCCACTTTATCACTCTTGGCATGGAACCCATTGATTAGAACTGCCGTTGCCATCCCAGTTGGAAATGTCAATTTGTAATCGATAATCAGAATCTGCATAAATGAAGCATGTAGCTTACTTACCCGTTACCACGGTACGATATATATACAACGCACTCAACTTCATCATTTACTACTCGCTTCATTTTTATTTTGCGCGTGTTAATAGTGTAAGAATTAAAGAGTTAAAAAGTAAAAGTTTTTTTAGTGTGTTAAAAAGTAAAAGTTGATAGTATTTGGTAAAAAAAACATATTTTTGTATGATAGAAAAACTGAAAAATACTTTAAAACGCTTATCCATCTATTTTCAATTTGGAAATGTTTAATTTAATCAGAAGTTATCACTAAAAATATCAATTTCATTTTTTAAATTCAAAAGCTGAAAAAAAAAATTACTACCTCCGTCCCAATTTAGTTAGCCCATCTTGACTTTTCCGGTCAAAGATAGTACACTTTGACCAATTATTTTAACTAATATATTTATGAAAAAAAATTATACTTTTATAATAGTATTTTCAATAAAGAACATTTTCATATAATATTTATATTTTTAATATTTTTTCTATATAGATATATAATCGGTCAAAGTTAGGTACCATTGACTTGAAAAAACAAGTTTGGCTAAGTAAATTGGGACGGAGGGAGTATTTTTTTTGCAAACACTCCCTATTCCCTAATATCAAAAGAGACACTATTTTTTGGCTTGTGAATATGATGGAATACAACAAAATGGTTTACTAAATTGTTTGTCCTTGAAGCAGTTTTTGGTCCATGCAACTTTTCGATGCGATTTTCACTGTGAGTCATCCGGAAACACTATATATGTGCTTTCATACAGGGATAAGATTGTGTACATTCGACCCCTTATCCCATCAAAGGTGTGGAAGCCTTTGCGGCACTAGGGTAATTTTGATAATGACGACTCCGTAAAATATACTACATCCGCTCTCTTTTAATTGTAACGTTAGACTTTTTGCACTATTCACATATTCTACTTTGACTATACTTTATGTATGAGAAAAGTGTCAAATAGGCCCCCTTACTAAGGATGTTTTTACTTGGACTGTAATTTGCCCCAGACCAGACTAGACCAGACCAGTCCAGACCAGTTCAGACCAGACCAGACCAGACCAGACTTGGATAGTTATAAAAATACAAAGAAACCAAACCTTACCAGACCAGACCAGACCAGACCAGACCAGATCAGACCAGACCAGCAAATTACAGTCCAAGTAAAAACATCCTAATACGAAAAAGTCAATTAAGCCCCCGAACTCAAAAAACATCCAATTAAGCCCACAAACTAAATATAACGAGGCAAAACAGTCCTTTTAGCAGGATATTAACCGTTCTCAGTTAAGTTGCATGTGTGGCAAATGATGTGACATGCTTTTACATTTTCTTTTTCTCTTTTTCTCTTTCTTTCCTTTTTTCCTTATCTCTTTTTAACTGCTTAATTACCTGCTAAAAGGACTGTTTTGCCTCGTTTTTTATAGTTCGTGGGCTTAATTGAGTGTTTTTTGAGTTCAGGGGCTTAATTGACTTTTCTGTATTAGTAGGGTGGCTATTTGACAGTTTTCCCTATTAATGTATTATAAATTAATTTTTTAAAAATATTTTTTAATTTCCTCTCATTTTATATTTCCAAAATCTGAATTTTTTTAATTTTTTTACTAATAAAAATGAAAGATATTAATGATCAAACTTGTGTGTTAGCAAGTGTGAAAAGTGGACCTTTTCAATTAAAAAAGAAGGAAGTATTTTCTTTTTGTCATTTTTTCATTTTTATTTGTTCCAAAGGGTTTTCCACTTTTCTTTTTTAAATTACGGGGTATTGAATTTGGGGTTCAACTTCTTTCTGTCTTTTCGGTATAGACGTAATTTCTAATTTAAACAAAGTTGTCCATGTCAAATGGGAGTATTATAGACAGCACACTTTTGGATTTTTAGAAGGTCAACAAGCAATAATTGATTTAACAAACGAAATATTGATCCAACCATCCAATCGACAGAAATTGATAATACTCAAAAATGATCTTGGAAATTGATCGATTAGAGAATGAAAATACATACCTTACGGAGAGGGATCAGTACAAAAAGGCCAATAAAGCAAACTACAAGTTCGTAACCGGTCATCCACCCCATCTCCAGCTTCTTATAACTGCTCGGATTGTTTCCCTCTGTTTCAACTCCAGCAAGCTCATACGTTTTCTTGTCCATCCCCAACAAGTAAGATCCCAGCCCACCTGAAAATTTTGATCACAACCCACAAGAGTCAAACCAAACTGAAAGATTCTATTTTAAAAGATCAACCTGATAATAAGAATGCAGAAAATGTATATTAACCGGCCTCCGACTGCAATGCTGTAGCAGGCGACGGCGCACGTTTGGATCATGGTGTTTTCCTGGCGGGTGAACGGTGTGGACGATACCCCGAGCCTGCGGAGAAGCTTCGTCCAGGTTCGGATGAAGATGAAACCGAGAAGAGCGGCGGAGATGTTGAAGTTCGGGGTGATTCCGGTGGTGAGGTCGAGCTTCATAGCTATCACGCTGAAAATGCTTCCTATTACGGCGCTTGCGATCACTCCCCTCACTGTTATCTGCTTATTCCACGGCGGCGTTGGAATGTGGCTCGGAATATTCTCACGCCGCCGCGGGGACAAGGAGGAGGCGGAGGAGGAGGGGGAATCATCTTCTTCACCTTCATCTTCATCATCATGTTGTGCCTTGTTCGGCTCTTCATCCTCTTCTGTAGAAGATAGTATCGCTGGGAGCTTTTTCTTCTGGACTTTTAGTTGTACCTCTGAAATCATTGCTCTCTGGAGTTGAGATAAATGACAGAGGAAGAAGTGATGACACTTTAGTAGGGAGGCGGAGTTATATTGTCAACGGTGCTCAATCAAACTTAGGAAATGTCACTTTGGTATAATTTGGCTTTTTATATGCCTTTTGCATAAAAATATGCTTTGATGAGATAACAGCCACATAAATGGAGCGTGGCCAACACAAGGTCCTCTCACAATTGGGATATTTGGAGATTGTATCCAACTTTAATTTTACAAAAAAAAAATACTCCCTCCGTCCCTAATAACTTTGCCAAGTTTGACCGGCACGTTGATTAATAAAGTAAAAACTGTGTGGTTGAGGTTTGTGCAGAGGAGAGAGAATTAATTGGAACCACAAATTCTTTACTTAAATGAGAAAGTGGCAAAGTTAATGGGACATCCAAAAAAGGAAAGTTAGCAAAGTTATAAGGGACGGAGGGAGTATTATACTAGCCTACTAGGTATTAAGCTACTTTATGTCTAATTCTCTACTACCTCGATCCTATAATATTAGGACATGAGTAGGTGACATTTTATTAAAAAATGAGTTTATGTAATCGATATTGAATTTATAAAGTAAGAATAAAGTAAAAATAATTTAACATCACTCAAATTTTACAAAATTTGATATGAGACATTCTTAGCAGGACAGAGAGTATTAATTTAGAATGTTTTTAACTAGACGGTAATATCTTGTTCTAGTGTAGTTTAAGTTTGATGTGTTTGAGTTAGGTCTAATGTGTGTGTGGATTTCCGGATCAAATGAGAACAAGTTTTAGCGTGAGATCGTGAGAACACCACAATTACCACAATGCGATTCACAATTAAGCTCATTTATCGCACTTTTTCGGGTTGTCATAATATTTACCAAAAGGAAAAACTACATAAAACGTACATGTGGTTTGGGCCATTTTCAGATAGGGGCATGTGTTTCATTTTCTAACAAAATGGGGCATGTGTTTCAATTCTGTTATCATAGCAGGGGCATGGCGTCTAACGCCGTTAGAAAAATTAACCCCGATTTTAAAAAGTCTCCGAAAAATTAAAAGAAAAATACCGGGAGGTGCGCCTCGTCAAGGAGATCAACAAACTATCTTTATTTTTTTGTTTCTAGCCACCATATCTCCAGAAAGTCCACCAGGAAATTGATATTAGCGAATTTTTTTAAAAAAAATAATCCAAATAGAGCCGAAAAATCCAAAGAGAAAAATAGTTTGTTGATCTTCTTGACGAGGCGCACCTCCCAGTATTTTTCTTTTAATTTTTCGGAGACTTTTTAAAATCGGAGTTAATTTTTCTAACGGCGTTAGACGCCGTGCCCCTGCTATGATAACGGAATTGAAACACATGCCCCACTTTGTCAGAAAATGAAACACATGCCCCTATCTGAAAATGGCGCAAACCACAGGTACGTTTTCTATACTTTTCCCTTACCAAAATGTCACTTTATTATTTAATTTAATATTGACTTAATTTAAGCAAAGTTAAAAATGTGCAACAAAAGAGTTCCATTGTGCGTCACATTGATTTAAATGTAAGTGTTCTCATGTTAAACATCGTTCTCATTGGAACTTCACCATGTGTGTGTGTATATATATACGTGTGTGCATGTGTGTATGTTTGGTGTGTGCTTATTAAAATTATTTTGACCTATTTAAATCAAGTTTGATCTAGTTTAGGTTGAAACTGAAACCAATCCAACTAGAAACATAGTGTATTTTTAGAAATATTTTATTTATTCACAAAGAAGCAGAAATATTTTACTATTTGTTACATTTTCCTACTTTATTTAGTTATTCATTTGTAAGTAAACGCATTATCGCTTTTTTTACTTTATGCTCTTATATACTATTTGTAACATTTTACTATTTGTAATATTTTCTAAGTATGATTTGATGTGATTTATTTAAATTTGATCTAATATCTAATATAATAAGTATAAATTTAGTTTGATACTATCTTTGTCCAACTAACATTGAGACAAGAGGGAGTGACATAATTATTAAGAAAAGTGAGTTTATGTGATTGATATTGAATTGATAAAGTAAAAATTAAATAAAAATGACTTAACCACATAAACTTTATCAAATTTGGTATGAGACAATTTTAGTGAGATTTATCGAAAGAAAAAAATGAAATATAATCTTAGCGGGATAATTTTAGGAAAAATTCCTTTTGTACACGTTCTTATACACATCAGTACACCTCTGTATCTGTGAGAGCTTTTTTTTGTATGTGAATATCAGTTCACAGACAAAACCTGGCTTGTTTTGTCTGTAAAATTTTCCACAGACAAAACAAGCCGGTTTTTTCTGTGAACCGTCATTCACAGACAAAAAAACTTCTCACAGACATGAAGGTGTACTGGTGTGTATAAGAACGTGTACACCAAGAGAATAAAATGGAAAACAAAATTAAAAGCATCTGTAGAATCAAATATATATTCATGTGCTGTCAGTTTCTACTCGCCTTTATTCTATTGTATTTCGTTTTTTCTTTTGCTATTAGCCTTGTGCTGATTTTTATGAGTAAAGGGTCAGTTTAGTCCTCGAAGTTGCAAAAAAGGCGTCAAATAAGTCCTTATATAGAAGATTCTGGGTATGTTTGGCACAACTAGCTAAAAAGATACTTTTATAGACTGTTTAGTAACTGTTAGCTTTTAGTGACTGAAAAGATCTTAAAAGTAAAAGGTAGTAACTGTTTGGGAAAAAGCTGACTGTTTGGTTTAGTTCTGTTTGGTACGGAAGCTGTTGGGACTAATTAATAGTAAAAGTCACAGACTTTTTTCATATGCTACCACCTGTAGCATCTCAAAAAAGAGCTTTTTATTTTTTGAAAAGCTCTTATAATTGTCATACCAAACATACAACTAGGAGCTTTTAGAGACTTTTTAAATAATACAAAAGCTAGAAGGCATGGACTTTTGCCTGCCAAACATAGCCTCTGTCTGGACGTGCCATTTGAGGTGGCTCCCGGTGGAATTTTGTGATAAATTTTTTGAGCATCTTATTCATTAAGTCTAGTTTACTCATACCAAATTTCAGCTAAAAATTCAATCGGGAAGACATCCAAATGAATTCTTGAAGATAACAGCGCTTTTAACGGCACAGTTATCTTCAAGAATTCATTTGAATGTCTTCCCGATTGAATTTTAATCTGAAATTTAGTATGAGTAAACTAGACTTAATGAATAAGATGCTCAAAAAATTTCATCAAAAAATTCTACTGGGAGCCACCTCAAATGGCACGTCCGGACAGAATCTTCTATATAAGGACTTATTTGACACTTTTTTTGCAACTTCGAGGACCAAACTGACCCTTATCCCTGATTTTTATTGCCAATTAGGGTGAAAGAATAATGTATATCTTCACCTCAAGGATTCTAAATATTGACTAACTCACCCTCTCATTCATGATTCACCCCAAGTAATTGACACTTGATAAATTCAAATATTAGGTGTTTTAGATCGAGATTTGATTAATCTTGGAGAAAACGGTCTCGACTATTTGAATTTGCTTTTAAAATCATGAGATGTAAGGCCATGTGACTTAGATGTTCCTACTATAATTGTGTTAATGAATCGCTTATAAGTAATCGCTCACTAAAAGTAATTGAAATAATGTATAGCGCTAGTATTAATTACTTCACTTTGGTGGACCTCAACATGTGACATTGAGTCACAAAATTTCTAATATTTCTAGAATTTTCTTAAAAGGATGACACGTCATCCCCAAGAGCTCTTAACACCGATCAGATAGTTGACCACGAGGATATAAATTGAATTTTAATCAGACACAGAGTGAGCGAGACTCTAGCACAAGTACTTGCAGAGACCTTATGCATTTCTACACAATAATTTCTTATCGTACCAGGATTCTAATCCGAAACTTATCTCTTGAGGCATTCCATATCAACCGGTTAAGCTACATCCACCGGCAAGTTTTCCTAACCATATACGACGTCTGGTGGTCGATTAACAAAAAAAACTCAGGTCATGAAAACAAAATTTGGTGCAAATGGGATGTAATATAATACTAATCGGGTTAAATGAGTTTGGTGTGAAAGAAAGAAAACCGAGAACCAAACAAAGTCAGCTTTTGGTCTTTTTGAATTGATTCCCTTTTATTGGTTTGTTATAGGTAGGGGCGGGCAAGAATCCCGGTCCCGTTGTCCCATTCCGGTATATCCCGAAACCGTACCGGTGTTGTCCCGTTCTGTTTGGGTCTCATTGATTTTGTCCCGCACCGGTCCCGTACCGGTTTAAAACGGGACGGGACCGGGACATTGGAAGGTTATCTCGAACCGTCCCGTTGTCCCGTTTGTAATAACTATATAGATTTTGTAGCATGTGACTAGTGTGTAATGTCAACTCAAAAAATAAATGGTAACATGTTTTTAGTTCTTCAAGCCCAATTTTTAAATTAAAAATAATACCTAACATAAATATTTACTAACATTGATTTTTATCCCGCTTTATATATCAACATATGAGTATCTCACAGCTAGAAGTCTAGAACACATGATTTTGAATAAACTAATTCATTTTTGCTTTGTTTTAAATTTAAATTTCAAATTTTGCTAAACCTAACTAAAATCCAATATGTAGTAGTTTTTAGCTTGTGATGAACATCAATTAACTTTTAAAATGTTAATATTTTGGTGCATGATACTTTAGAAATGCTAATATATACTCGTATTAATTACAAATGATTATTTTTTGTTAGTTTGGGACGTCTCGAACCGTCCCGAACCGTTCCGAACCATCCCGGTCCTGATTTAAATGGGACAAGACTAGGACAAAGGCTTGTCCCGTACCGTCCCGTACCGTTATTATTAATTGGGACGGGACCGGGATAACCCTAATCCCGAACCATCCCTACCCATGCCCACCCCTAGTTTTAGGTACAAATTTCAGTTGTTTATTTGTGGGTTTGATCGGCTCTTAAAGAACATAGTTTTAAAATGTGACCGAAAAAGCCTTTTGTTTTGTTGAGATTTGATTTTTGTCGCTCTAGGAATCACGATGTTGGAAGGTTCGGCTGGAATTGCCAAAGAGAAAAAGGGTCGAA